TTTTTTTTTTGGTTTTTCTCTGGTACAGGGAACCGAACTCACGACCTTGCGCTTGCCAGGCAGGCGCTTTTGCCACTGAGCTAAATCCCCAGCCCTGTGTCGGCAGATTTTGATGGCACTTTGTAGAGCCCAGAAAGGGGGCACCCCGATGGAGCTGCGACAAGCCCTGAATGACTCCCTCCCCCCACCCAACTGCACACATTTCCTAAGCCTGCCTGCCAGGAGATGCTTTCTTCGCAGACTTAAAATATGAGGTGTTTACTATCGCACTTCACGAAGGTTCCCCCTCCAGAAATCCCTCCTCTATGGAGGTCTCCGCCTCCCTTATTTTGCTTCAGGAGGGCCTAAAATTACACACATAGGATGTAGGTGAAGGTACTGCCTGCATTTCAACTTCCTCTTTTCCAAAGCACTGTGAGGTGCATGTGTGCATCTGCCCTGATGTGCTTCGATGTCACTGAGTCCTGTCAACTCTGTCCTCCGCAACATCCCTCTTGGTCCTGTATGTCCCTCTATGTTCTACACTGTTGTCACCAGCAAACTGTAGGTCAGAACTGAGTGTCCTATCTCCTCTTCCTGGCCTATTCACCTTGACAGAATTAAGCTCAGATGTGCCTGCATGATGCTCCCACGGAGGTGTTTCAAAAAAACCACCATTTGGAATCTACAACTGTATTTGTTTTAGAGATGTCGTTATTTACTGTTGCAGAATATCCTGTTGTGAGGAGCATACAATTTTTTTCTTTGTTGAATACTAGAAAGATCTAGGCTTTTCCTGAACCACTAGCTTCTTGTTCTCAATTTTTTTCTGTGATTCTACAATGACTTTTGCTGTCTTTTCAATGGCTGCTAGAAGGTGTTTTGCATTCAACTTAACTCAGAACTGTTCCTTAAGTATCTTTAACCACTAATGTTAACCCTTGATTTTATCTTACCTCCCTATCTTTGTATTTCCTTGGTCTGATTTCATCTTTTATTTGTGTTTCAACAATATGCATACCTCTGCACTCAACTTCAAAATGTTTTGGAAATGGTGGGAGTACAAACACCTCAAAAGCAGACCATTTGTTCTAATATTTATTGAGCACCTACTCTATGCCAGGAATGGGGCTTGGTACTGAGGCACACAGAAGACAATGTAGAAGACTGCTCTGTGGAGTCTGCCCAGTCCAGCCTGGGTTTGCTTCATGGCTAAAGAACCACAGGCGAGCTGCACTCATGTGACACTCAGGATATGGGGAAGCCAGAACCAATTATTCTGGTTGTATGGCTCATTCATCTCTTCCTTCCTACACTTCCTGAAATCTCCCTTTACTTGATGGCTCTATGTCCTTGTCTTTCCTGTAAAGGGCTAAATCTCCAGCCACAGTTCATACCCACAAATGCCAAGCAAGAAAAGAATAAGAGTGAGCATTTTCATTCACTGAAAAGACTTGCTGATGAAGAATATTTAAAAGCACAAGAAAATATATAACAATAAACATGTTCAGTTACATGTGAAATAAAGTCATAGCATTGTTTGTGTGTTTAATGTTATATATTTTCTTAAAGAAATATAGCATATACCTTCATAATCACATAAAATGTTACAGATAAAAAAAAGATGTTTAGCATAATCCAAATTTTATAAATAAATATATGATTCACAATACATCTCTCTCTCACACACACACACACACACAAAGAATAGACTGGAGTGTTAACACTAGTTAGCAACTCTGGGTGGCAAAATTATAGCTGCTTTTTATTCTAATTTTTCATGCTTCTCTACTTTTTTTGACAGTGAGTGTGTTTTTTTAGAATGATATTTTAAAATGTCATTTTCCTGTTCGAGGGTGGGGAGGATGGGAGGTTTGCCAGATGAAATACATAATGCCCTGTTAAATTTGAATTTCAGACAAATAACTTTTTTAGTATAAATATGCCCGGTATTACACAGGACATACTTACACTAGAAGGTATTCATTGTTGTGTGAAATCCAGATTTTATTAGATGTCTTGTGTTTTTGTCTGTTTTTGCTAAATCTGGCAACTCTAGAGGGTAGAGGCAGCTCCCTGGAATTGCTGGGGAATTTTAAAAACTGGTCCTCTTTTCCCAGATTCTGAGGCATCTACCCAGCTAGCTGGCACCACTCAGATCTTGGAACCTCCTCCCAAGGTTGCCCCAGATGTGCATCCAAGGGTGGCATCAGGTGGACACCGGGTGGCATGGACAGGAGCCCAAGGGTACTTCTGTCATTCCTCTCCTGTTGTCCCTGGTGGAACTTATTATGTTTGACCTTGTGAAATCACTCTTCTGCAACCTTCCAGCCTCTCCTAGAAGTCTGTCTGATTGGCCTGTTTTGTGACTTTCGCTCTGAAGGACAATGGTGGACCCTCTGGCACAGGAGAAGTCCCCTGTGGAGCAGAGGCAGGCAGCCCTGCCAGAGGAGGAGCTCTTTGGACCCCCTGAGTCTCTGCTGTGGAAGATTTAGCTGTGGAGTCCTAGATCTCCGACCAACCCAAGGTTGAGACATAGAGCGGTCTGTGTCTGCAGAGCACAGCAGGATGGAAAGTCAACTACTCAAGACCAGGAAGCTGACTGACCTGCCCAGCCACTGAGAGAGCGACTGTCCTTCAGCCTCAGCAGGGGCATTTCTGCCAGGGAACCTGTTGTGTTCAGAGAGAATGATTTCTCAAGAAGGACCTGGAACCAGTGGCCAGTGGCCACACCTTTGGGGGACCCTGACGAATCAAGGACATCTTCCCCTTGGAGGAACATTGTAAAAAGACCAGAAATAACTCTATGCAGTGTCAGCTATCAAATAATACTGGAGGTGCAAAGGCTTAAACATTTGCCAAAATGTGTAAATACAGGCCTTAAAGAGGTGGTACTTCATGAGCTGTAGCGCAAAGAGCTCTGGGGGAAACGCCATGCTTTGAACAAAGCCCATGGACGACCTAGGTCTCAGTTTCCTCAGCAGCAAAATGAGTGGATTGAAAAGAGTGAATGCTAGGAAAAGTAACTTCTAATTTAATTTCCTGGAGTAGTAATTCTGGGAGTTCACTGGGCTGGAGCTCAGAAGGGAAGTAGGCTGATGACTCAAATAAACCCAACTTGATTTACTGAATCTTGCTGTATAGAGGAACAGGAAAGATTCCTATTTTTTGACTATTTACTTGGTGCCAGCTATTGTATATGTTTGATCTCATTTCTGCTTTAGAAAAGCTTTTGTCTTCATTTTATATCCAGGAAAATGGAGCCAGAGAAAGGTTAGGTGATTTTCTTCAGACCACATAGCTAGCAAGTTAGAACTGAGATTTGAACCAAGACTATTTTCCGCTGAACTTAATGCCTTGGTCACAATCCCATGTAGATTTGCAGTAGGTACTGTGCTCTAATCAGCACAGGGGAGGAACGGGGACGGGGAGGGAGGTCTTGCCCCTTTTACTATGATAAATCTACGAGTAGGGAAAAGCCTACAACCAGTTCCCATTTACCAAGGATAAATGCCAGGTTGTATATTCAAGGTCACTTGTGCTCCAGAATTCTCTTCCTACCTTTATTCTGGTCCCTGAAATACTCTCAACAGCATCCAGAGCTTCAGTATGTACTCTTACCTGCCCCTCTCATCTCCTCTGGAGAGAAGAGAAGTAGAAATTACATTTCACCCACTCACTTATTTAATCATTTCTGTGAAAATGCTTTGCCTGGTCAAGAGGGGAGACACATGGGTGTCACTTCTGTCTGAATGAATCGCTGAGAGAAAAAGAGGTGTGGAAAGAAACTAGATTCTCTTGACCTAGCGGGGAGTGGTGGTGCACACCTGTAATCCCAGCACTCAGGAGGCTGAGGCAGGAGAATCATGAGTTTAAGGCCAGCCTGGGCTACCTAGTGAAATCTTGTCTCAAAAAAAAAAAAAAAAAAAAAAGAAAGAAAGAAAGAAAAGAAAAGAAAAGAAGAAAAAAATGTTTTGACCTCAGAGTAAATAAATATTCAAGCAAGTCTCCTGGAATACAATAACCAATCAAGTGAATTGTTTACTGTGGCCCGTGGCCATTTCCAGTCCTTTGAGAGATAGTCACAAGAAAAGTACTAGGTAAAAATATTGGAATAGTATATAGACCTGTTGGCAAAAATAGGAAATTTATTTATTTGTGTAAGCATCTGCCATTTAAATGATGTTAGCCATTTCAAATCCTTGAATGAACAAAATAGTTATTTTTGAGTTTTGTTTTCAAAATAATTTCCGTGTAGATTGAATTGTCTATGAAAATATAAGACCAGACAGAGCTCACCACCATGGCCCTTTTATAGACTGACTCTGGTCAGTACTGCAGAAGCAGACTGCGAGATGATGGTCATGATGCAGTCACGCTCTGTTAAGGACTTGCTCTCAGAAGACGGTGAAGGTGTACAGAAAACACCACGAGAGAGGAAAGAAACTAAACAAGGATCAGAGGTGGCTTTACCTTGGCCCCGCAGAGGAAATTTGGGATGGTAAACACATCCCAGTCTTGTCCAACTTGAGGCAAAGGAACTGGCTGCTTCGGTCAAGGGCCACTGTGTGGCTGGCGG